AACTATATTACCATAAAAAAAACTATATATCTAAATAAAATTTGATAACTAGCAGGGATTATGCCATGCATGGCTTGTTATTTTGGTATTCACTCAAATTTGACTTCATTCAGTCTTGTAAATACCAATGGTGGGTTTACTCACACTGATAGTTTAATTTTAAATGGCCGACTAGTGGCCAGATTGTGTATTGTTATGTTTGTGGGTGTGGGACATGGATAATTATATGTCTGCATTATGTTATTTCTGATAAACATTTTTACATTTGTGATAAACATCAACATTTTTTTACAGAATTCTGATGGCGATACGGCGTTGCATTTCTCTGCTCAGTATGGTCATACTGAAGTTGTGGAACAACTCTTACAGGTAAATAAAAATTTATTACATATGCTCATCCATCCATTACACTGCGTTTAACGCTGTATGAACAGGTTGTATGTAAAATGCTTGAAAATACTTCTGATCAAACCTGCTTATCCAAATTTTATTCCTTCTGCCAACTATTACATATAGGTAGCCTATGTCCTGCAACTTTGTTGGACAGTCGTTTTCCAATTGGTTGTGTGTAAATTTCCTTCACTCTAAGGTCTTTGAATGGTGTACCAATATACTTGGATTCACAAACATTTATTTCTATTCCAAATTACTACAGGTTGCAATGCTGTGAAATAATTTATTTAAGCTGGGATTAATTTTCGCTGAAGTTTTGCATAAAGTTTATTCTCACTGGTTTTTGATGAGATGTATCATATATCAACTCGAATCAATGTAGTATCTTTAATAGTTAATCTACATTTTTTTTCTCGTAGTGTGCTTAAATTCAGACCTTCAACTATTTCACATAATAGTTCTAATACCTCATTAAAATAAAGCTTTATGAATTCTCTCCCATTGCAACTTTAATGAGCATGTCTTTTCAGTTTTCTGTACCACAATTCAGAGCGTTATTGTACCTTGGATACCATTATTTTCTGCAAGTATTATGGCATGAATTTTTATTTTTTTTGTTAATTTTAAATCAAACAGATGTAATTTCCCATTAGCTCTACATTTAAAAAAAAAATATCTTAGACCCAGAAAAAGAACAAGTTTTGAGGGTCAAAATTGATATACAATGTGCAGATTTTTTATTTTATTTTTAAAATTATCATTTTATGGAGATTTAGGGTTGTTGCGATTCTAATAAAAACTCTGACATATATGTTGACCGTAAACATGAATATTGTTTTTTTCTGGGCCTTATTGAGCATAAATACTACCAAGTACATCAAGTGTATTTGATTTAAAGTAGAAGCCTACTCATGATTTTAAATACCGAGAATTTATTCATTTTCCAATAAATTGTACAATATAAGGATATTGAGTTAAAAAAAGTTGAGGTAACCAGCTTAATTTTTGAGAAAATGATAGTAGTACATGTATTTCTGTGGATAGTGGTAATTTTGGCAGTATTATAGTGCTTTAACCATAGTTTCCTATGGCTGAGATAATGTCTTATCTTAAATTGTAGGCAAATTGTGACATATAGGCTGAGAAAGTTGTATATTGTGAATGATGGAGTACATATTTATTGTTCTCAATTATTTCAAATATCTAGGTTTAAAAAGGTGGCAAAAAATGCAAATTTCATTAACGTTGTACTTTATAGAATTGTCCTAAAAATATTAAGACAAGTTTCTCAAAATACGTCACAGTAACACGCAAAAGAATGCTATTTCATGGTGCCATGAGACAATAGCTTCACAATTTTACATAATAAACCAATAAACATTGTCATGCACTTAATGACCAACTTTCTCAAAAGTTAGGTAGTAGGTTTCTACCTTAATACGAACAAGATTGACTGTTGACGAAAATATTAATTTGTCATGCCTTTTTTAATTTTCATTATTTTATTTGAATAGAAACAAGGGAGACCAGCTAACAGAAACAAGTCTAACCACTCTCCGTTAGATTTAGCGGCTCTCTATGGAAGAGTCAAGACTGTACAACTCTTTATAAAGGAGTATCCGGCATTGTTAGAGGACACTGTACCAGCACACACACCTCTCCATTTGGCATCAAAAAATGGACACTATCACGTAGTCAAACTATTGATAGATGCCGGCATCAACGTCAATATCAAGGTGAGTTATTACTATTGCAAGTTTAATAGGTGGCCTTTAATAGGTGGTCTCTCTTCCTCTCTTTCTCAATTCTAGTGCACAAGGTTTTTGAAAAGCATTAAATCTTTGTGTTTGTATTTTTGGTATTGTAAACAAGACGGTTTAGCTGTCGGTATAGGTCCTGGAGAATACTTACGATAATTTGGTTGTTGTGTATGATGCGGAATGATGTCATCAGTAGAATTTTTTTTTTTTTCTCTGCAGAAGATTCTTCACTCTATATACTTGTGTTTGATGAGTCTGTTATTTCTCTTTATATTTTTGAATTAGTGGGGTTTAATAGTGTGTCAGAGTACAACTTAAGGTAGCGACATTGATTTGATCTGTAATGTCTGTTACTCAGAAATATATGCATATAAATGATCAAAGATTGGTTGAAAACAGATGAATAAATTTGTTATTAGATTATATGCATGTATATGGTGTGTATTCACGCTAGGTCAGTGAGATTATTAGTCTCTGAAAAAAATTGTCCGAAAAACTTGTTTACATCACTAACTCAGTCATTCATAACCTGCCATTTTGGCGATGAGGCAAAAACAATAAAACATCACAAGTTTTTGGTATTGATAGTTTTGAGCAGTCAGTATTTCCGCATAAGTTTTGAATATTGCAACTGACCATTTTCAAATCTAATTATCTACATATGATTTTAATGGAAACATGTGAAAGAGAAATAGAAAACTCAAGATTGTAATCTCTCAACTTCAAGCCATCTAATTTGAAAACAGAAAAAAAAGTGGAAAAATTCACAGACACGGTTTGTTCATTTAAAAAATGACAACCAAGCATGCACGTCATGTGGATTTATTTTTGTTTCACTTGTGTTGGCGAGATTCTCAGCAAACAATGTTATAAAACGTGTTTGTATGTGTTCTCATACTGTAAACCACTCAATTCTCGTTTAAAAGTTTATTGGCATTCGTGAATAAAAAATTTTGTGAAAGTCGATGACACTTCGTGTAATAGGATCGTAGTAAATAGTGACTACCCTCAATTCTCGTTTAAATGTTTATTGGCATTCGTGAATACAAAATTTTGTGAAAGTCGATGACACTTCTTGTAATAGGATCGCAGGAAATAGTGACTACTACACACTAACAACAAAACATTAAGGTTTTCCTGGTTGTTACCTTCTCTGTCATATTTCTATCAGTTTGAGTCCAGGTGTTACGTCTTTTGTTACAAATGTCGTTATCAAACAATCTACGCTACTTTTTGATAGCCTATATAATTGAATAATGCTGCGACACTAAAATTAATTAAAACATTGCTATCTAATCTAAAATTAAAAAAAACATTTGCTCTGAGTGTTTTGATATTGATGTACAGGTGCTACTGTAAAGATATGAATAAATCGCAAATTCTGTACCAATTTTTGTGGAGTTGGTGTACTATTATTTTACATTATCGACCGGATAAAATACAGTTTTGAGTTCTCATTTCCTGTCGATGTCATGCCAACATCATGCCATGACGGAATTAATCCATTGTGCCCGAGGCTTTTCCATGTACCCATCCAATTTTTTCATTGCTCAAATCGCCAATTTAACCATATTACCATAACAATGTAGTCAAGTGGCAGAAATGGTACTGGGATATTCCATTTTGAAGCAGGAAGGTTAATATGTTATATGTACAGCTGGTATTGTAGTATATAGCCAGGTTTTGAGTAATATTGGTATATAATATTGTGAATACTGTTAACTTGTAACTTGCAATTTTTTTAGTTTCATCGTTATTCACCAAATAAAATTGAAAATAAAATTGAAAATATACATGGTACCTTAATTAATTATTAAGAAATTTTCCATGTTTCTGTCAAATAAATAGTTAAAAATATCAAGGTTATTAATTTATTTAATGTTCAATTTTTTATCATCAGTACCTCACACATTCATTAATGACAAATGGTTTGACCCAAGTACTCCATAAAATTTAATTGGCTATACAGTTGCAGGGATATGAGTTATAGAATTGCTACCCTTGTCCATTCATGCTGAGTGAATGGAACGTTCCAAGCTATTGATCCAATGGGATAACTGATATTGGACGCACAATATGTAACACTTTTATTCACACTATAACAAGGTTAGTTGTAAAATTCAGTGTGTCTGACACTGTAGTGAGTCAGAGGCTGCCGGATATTCCAACGTTTAACATACACACTGGTGATTATGTGTGCTGTGAGCAGCTGAGGATTCCTGTTTAATACACATCGTATATTGTCTGAGGCTTTGCTCTATTCCCTCTAAATGATGGTTTAAAAAGGAAGATAGTATAAGGTAATATTCCAGTCTACTTTACGACAATCTTGTGTTATTATTAACACATTGTAGTTAGGAGCGAAAAACATATTTTTATGTCAACCTGTCTCAATGCTATTTTTTTATGTATTATCAATTTTATTTGGAATTGACACATTAATCTGATCATTTTTAGTTTTACAAACCTTCATATGTTTATACAGTTTTAATGCTCTTGTCATGGATGGGTGTTCTTTATCGGTTGTTTAGTTTCCAAGGGTCAGAGGTAAAATAACGTGTCTAACTAATTAAGACTCAGAATCATATAGGATGCGTACATACATGTACTTAAATAGTATTTAGTGTTTAAAATTTAATAATTATTTGCATGGAATAATTTAAAAATTTTGTATTGGGTGTTTCACGTATGTGACAGAAATCCGAACCTCAAACACCCACCTACCCACAACAACCCCCACCCGTTCAACCCATCACCACATGAGCGTACATGTTATATCTTTAGTTAAATTTTCAAGGTCTGCCTTGTCTGCTTTTTTATTATTCTAAAATATAAAGTCAAATAATTAATGAGCAATTGATTGAATTACCATAATTAAATTACTCCAAAAAAACTGTCAGTAATATGTAATATTACTATGACCCCATTTGAGTTTTTCCAATTTGCATATTGAATCCCTTATTTTAATACATACATAAAGTCTATGATTTTAATTTGTCTGTGTGTAGTTTCCTAGAAACCATCGTTTGTTAATTTAACACAGTGTACATAGGATATTGGCTGCACTGTCAAGTGGAGTATGTTATTACAAGCATTAAAATGAAGCCGTTCAATTTTCAGATTTTAATTATCACACCAATATTGTGCAGGGGTAAGGGTCATGATTTGTCAATTGTCACGTAAAATACACCACTGCCAAATACTGTAAAATGACTAATTTTCACTTGGTTTAAATTTCACTGATTTACCATTTCAGGCATATTAGTGGGTTTTAAATTTATGGTTTTATCATTCACATAATGTGTTCTATGCTAAA